ATAGGAGTGAAATTCACATTTTCAGATTTGAGGAATAGTGTTTTTCCTTTATTACTATTTGTTGAACTCTTTACTTAGTGTAGGGTTAATCTTATGAGTATAAAAGAAACTGAAAGTACTTCACTGTAAAAAGAAGGAATAATAGAGGAAGGTGGAAGAACGGTTAGGGAGGTAGGATAGAGTGGGCAATATCACTATGTTCCTAAATCTGTATATATGCATTGCATCAGATTTCTTTACCCTAAATAAAAAATTTTAAAATCTATTTAATATGCTTATATTTAATATTTAATATACTATAATAGATGATTATATAATTATGTATTTGCTATATAAAATTATAAATAGATTCTCCCATTTAATGAATACAATTTAGTATATCTGCAGTCATACAACTATCTCCACAATCAAGTTTGACTATTTTCCTCACCTCAAAGAGAAACTCCATATTTCTTAGCAGTCAACCTTCATTCCCTCTTGCCCTGACCCCAGCAACCACCAATTTACTTTCCATCTCCATAGATTTGCTTATTGTGCACATTTCATGTAAATGGAACCATACAATATGTGTCCCTTTGTGTCTGGCCTCTTTTCCTTTGCATAATCCTTTCAAGATACATCCATACTGCAGCATGTGTCCGTACCTTATTCCTTTTCATTACTGAACAACGTTTTACTGTATGGCTAGATCCCTTTTTGTTTACCGATTCATCAGTTTATGGGCATTTAAGCTGTTAACTGGTTTTTACCAATTATTATACTCCATGAGCACTTCCATACAATTTATGTGGCCATATACCACATAAAAGCACACACTTAGGGGTGGAATTTCTGAGTCATATGGTAACTCTGTGTGTAGTCTTTGAGAAACAGCCAGGCTGTTTTCCAAAGTGGTTGCACCATTTTACATTCCCATCAGGAGTGTATGAGGGTTCCAGTTTCCCCACATCCTGCCCAATGTTTGTTGTTATCTGCCTTTTTTCATTACAGCCACTCTGAGGGCTGTGTAGGGTATCCAAATGCATTCTTAAGATGCAAAAACATAGAACTACATTGGGCAAGGAAGTAAAACCTTTTATGACAAGGGAAAAAGGCATGAAGACAATTAGGAAGAAAGTCTTACAGTCAAGCTGGAAAAGAAGGCAAATATTTTTTGTGTCTGTTACTCAATGTTTTGTCCTTATGGGACTAGCTGAATAAAAATTTCAAGATCATGGAGCCAGCCCCCAATTCCACATCTGGAGCTTGTAATAATCATAATGACACTATTCTTGTTTATTGATTTACTTTTAAAAAAAATTCCTTCTCATGCTGTTCCCATTTGATCCAACACAGCAGATCTTGTATATGAGAGTATTATTTTTTGTAGTCGGCTGAGAAGCGTGCTCAGGATTGGAGAGGTTAACTGACTTGTCCAAGGGAACACAGCTACAGAAGCAAAAGAGAGAAAACGAAATCAACAGGGCTGAGTTTAGAAGCCAAACTTTTATTATAAGTCCCAGTCCTTGGTTTCCTCTTTCCTTATCAGCCCCACAGCATCACTGATGACCCAGAAAGTAATGTGAAAAGAAGAGAAAGCAGACGTGAACTGTGGGTGTGTGTGCAGCAAATAGAGGCAGGAGGCCTACACGTCATAGTGTCCACACGCACAGCAAGAGGGCAGCTGAGAACAGAACACTCTCCATGCTCCAGTAATAAGGAAACCAGGCTCACAGCTACTCCCATTCTAAATTCTAAACAGTATATTACTCTGTACTAACAGAAGTACATTGAATTATATGCACCATTCACTCAAATATTTATCAAGTAATTACTATGTTCTAATCACAGTGCAAAAACTGTTGACTTAAAAGTCAATGGGTCCCACAGGAGAAACACAGATGGAGCTTTGGGCCTGGTTTGGCCTGGCCCAGCACTGGCCACTGTTGACATTTTGGGTAGTGGACCAGCAGATGGAAGGTCGGTCGGTTGATGTCTCTCTCTGTCCTTCTCTCTCTCTCTCTCTCTCTCTCTCTCTCTCTCTCTCCTTCTCTCTCTGTTTTCCTCCCTACCCCTCTACATGTTGCTCCACCACCTTTCAAATAAGTAAATAAGTAAATCTTTTTTAAATTGGTCAATGGCTAAGATTTTCCAAAGTGAAATGAAATGAGTAACATTTTCTAAGCTCTGTACATGTAGCATCTTGTTTGAACCTCAAACTCCTGAAAGAGAAACATCATCAGAATCCCATCAGAAAGGTTAAGTAAATTCCCCCAAAGTCACAGAACCAATAAGTGGTGGAGACAGAATAAGAACCCAAGCAGTCTGGTTGTCTGTCCTGTGCTATTCACCAACCCCCAATCCTTCCTACCAGATCCTATTTGGCTGGAAGTCACACGTGCTAGTGCAGAGATCAATATTACTGATTAATTCCAGCAACCATTGGTAGATCGCTCACTAATCCAGGAAGCCAAGAGGCAGATTCTCAGGCACCCTGTGAAATACTTGTCTCCACTGCCATTTTACAGGTGAGGAAACAGTCTCAGAGAAGTGAATTCACTTGTCCAAAGTCACAAGTGCAATTGTCGATATGTTGGTTATTACACATACGTATGTTCTAAGCACCAACCTGTACTCTTCCAGTCTTCAAAGCACAATGAGGTAAGTTCCATTATTAACCACTATTCTTTTTTTAAAGATTTTACTTATTCATTTGATTGGTAGAGTTACCGAGAGCAGGTGAGATAAAGAGAAAGGTCTTCAAACCACTGGTTCACTCCCCAAATGGCCGCAATGGCAGGAGCTGGGCCTATCCGAAGCCAGGAGCTTTTTCCAGGTCTCTGAAGAGCGTGCAGGAGCCCAAGCATTTGGGTGACTTCTACTGTTTTCTCAGGTCATATCAGAGAGCTGGATCAGAAGAGGAGCAGCTGGGACTTGAACCGGCATCCACATGGGATACCAGTGGTGCAGGTAGAGGCTTAGTCTACTATGCCACAGTGCCAGCCCCTACCCACCCCACTATTCTTAATTCAACAACTTGCCCAAGGTCCTACTCTAGTGAGGAGCAAAGTGGGGATCCACTCCCCAAAACAATGTAATGCTGACACTTGGCTGCTGTGGCTGAGCAGGAACTAATCCCAGGTTTACTTTCTGAGTAAAATAGCCTTCCAGCTTTTTCCAATATGGGCTTCAAACCTCTCACCGTCCAGAGAGCTACAAGCAGAGAGGGGAGTGCAAGTGTTCTGGGCCCCTGAAGACAGGCCATTTAAGCTGCACCTTGAAGGAGAACTTGCTTGCTGGGCAAAGAGAGCTACCTCACAATTTGGTACTTGTAAAGGAAGTAAAACAGAAGTAACCCTATCCAATGGAGGCCTTGCAAAAGGTTGATACAGTAAGGAAGAGCAAAGAAACTATTAAAAAGAAAGTGTTTCAGGGCAGGTATTTGGCCTAGTGCTTCAGACACCTGCATCTCAGATATATCCGAGGTCTGGGTTCAAGGACCAGCTCCACCCCCTATATTCCAGCGTCTCACTAATGCACACCCTGGCAGGCTGCAGATGACGGCTCAAGTAGCTGGGTCTCTGCCACCCACGTGGGAAGCCTGGATTGGTTTCAGCCTGGCCTAGCCCCAGACACTGCAGGTATCTGGGGAGTGAACCAATGAAGGGGGACTTCCTCCTATCTCTGTTTCTCTGCCTGAAGAATTAATTAAAATATTTCAAATTAAATCAGGAAAGTTTTATTTTGATTTTTAAATTAGGAAATGCTCTTGATGAAAGAAAATAAGTTCCCAATTCCCTTTCATTCTGACCACACATTTAAAAAACTAACAAGGAATAGAAATGCGCCATTTGCCTTTTTGTAGCATTAAACTCAATGAATTTTGAGTTCCAATGTTTACTTCCTCAAAGTTACTGCAGCGAGCTGGGTGGTTATGGACCCTGCAGGGCCCTTTGCAAGATTCTCCTTCAGGTCCGGGAACACTGCCATAGCAGAAACCAGAAATGGACTGGGAAAGTTCAAGCCAGGAACTAGAAGGAACTGGGGCGTATGTGTTCTGGCAGGACCAGGGGCCCGCATGCAACTTTTTAGCTACAGCACTGCGAATCTGGATTTTTTTTTTTTTTCCTTTCTTGGTAAACTGATTTATGACCACACGAAGGGCAGCTGTGGAGCCAGCCAGACCATAAGCAAAATCCTTAAACATACGGCCAAGCAGAATGACCAGAAAGGGCCGCGGATGGCATGGGGGGAATCTGAGGGGTATTGCTTGGTTCTGCACGCCGAGACCTGGCAAGTCTTCAGGCTGGCGACCCAGAGCCACCACGGACTCCACTGCCCCAGTGCCTGAAACGCGCGCGCTGGGGAGTCGGCACCGCAGCGGGGCAACCGGACAAGGGGCCTCCACGCCCCCTTGCGGCCCCACAGGACGCGCCAACTGGGTGACAGGAACAGGGTTCCAGAACTGTTCTCCGACTGCAGCCCCAGCCCTCGACCTAAGGCAGGCGTGGTGATCGGCCCCATTTCACAGGTGAAGCAACCAAGACTCAGGGCAGAGAAGGAGAACGTGCCGGCGAGACGAGAAACCGGAATGAAGCGGACCAGTGGAGTACAGAGGCTGGGTTCGGCTCGCGGCCCCGCACCGACCGCCCTTGCGCCCTGGGCAGACTCGGCGCAGGCTGTCAGCCCAAAGGCTCCGCAGCACCCAGGTGCCTGGCAAAGGACAGCGCGCGGCGCGTGGCGGCGAGGCTGCCCCGCGTGGGACTGCAGCAGCCGGGCTAGGGCGCCGCGCGCACCATTCGCTCCCCGCGTCAGCCCCCTCCGCAGCCCCACGCTAGTCGCGAGTCCGCAGGACTGCAGCAGCCCGGCGCGGGCGCAGCGCGGACCGTCCACGCGCCCGGGCGTCCGGCGCCCCGCGCGAGCCGCGCGAGCCACGAGCCCCGGCGCGCGTGCGCTCGGGTCTGCAGCGGGCACGGGCTGGCAATGCCACCGCGAGCCCACGGGCTCTGCCCTCGCCTTACCGTAGCTGCTCCCCGGTGACCAGGACCTCAGCCATGCGCTCCAGCTCCCTTTGCTGCGCCCCGCCACTCCCGCTGGTGCTGCTGTCGCTGCCAGCGCTGCCAGCGCAGCTAGCGCTGCCGCCCCCCTCCATGCTCCGGGCCGCGCCGCTTCCACTGCTAAGGCTGTCCGGCGTGGGCTCGGCTGAGCGGATCAGTTTGCCCTCACGGAGGCCTTGCCCGCCATCTTTGTTCGGGGCAGAACCGTTGCTCAGACGGGATTGGCTGGAGAGGGAATCCCAGTGGGTAGGCTCAGGCGCCCGGCGAGTCCAGCCCCTGGAACTCCAGTTTGGGGGCGTGTCCAGAACCCCGCGTGGTCCGGGGGCGGGGCCGAAGGAGGAAAATATAAACATCTGGGCGGGGCGCTGCTTGTGAGCTGTGGGTGCAGGTGGAGGTTGCTTCACGTGAGCCCCCTTTTCTTTATCCACGAAGCTCGTGCCGTGGAAACCTGAGGACAAGCCGGGAAGTTACTAAGCAAGGGTGCAGGCGATCCTGTTTTACTTTCCATACCAGTTGCTACCGAGTAAAAAGAGTAACAGCATGCATATTCCCAGTGACCGGGGAAGGTAGGATGTGTGTGTCGCTGCAGGGCATGGAGGGATTGAACATTCTCGTGCCAACCCCCTTCACCAAAGCGGACTTTCCTTACAGGTGTACTTGATAAAGAACTCTGGGAATCAGACAGACCTGAGTTCCAGTCCACTTCTCTAATCTCCTACTGAGCGTGCTTTATTTCTTGATTACAAAATCAAAATAATTGTGGCTACCACCTGTTGACACCTGCTGCAATAAAATGCATCAGACCCGTCGTTGCCTTGTTTAATCATTGGGAAAAGTCACAAAGTGACTAGAAGTGGATGTTCGTGTTAACTCAGCTGCGGCAGGTGAGGTCGCTTGTCTAGGGTAAACGGGTAATAAGGGCCATTTTAGCTTCAGAATCGTGTTAAAACGCTGCCTCTTAAAAGGGTCTATAATGGTATTGTCCACCTTTAAGAGAGCATGGAAGGAACTGTGCCTAGTGCCAAATAAATGTGCTGTATTTCTATTTCAGGCAGATTCCAAGCCTGGGCAGGAAGGCCAGCTGTTCATGTTGAGGTAGTGAAGAGCTATCTGTGCATTGACATTTTATGCAGCTTGTGGCAGTTTTTGCATAGATGAAAGCCTCAGTACCCTAACTACAGATTAATGTGAAGCTATTTTGAAAAAACAATGCATAATCCCTCAATTGCAGCTATGTAGGCGTTTACAGAATAAACATGAAGGTAAAAGGAATGATGAAAACAATTTTCTGTGCATATTCTGTACCAATTTTGCTATTTAAGACTATACTATCTTGCAGGTTTGCTATGCTGCACTACTCTTTTCTCATTGTTTTCAAGGAAGATCATGTTAGCCTTTTCCAATATTCAACAAAACTATCCTTCAACTTAAAATTCTTGGTAATTTCTTGAGTATTCTGTGCTTTACATGATGCTGAACCTTTGGCTTATATTGTTTGGTTTGGCCTGTTAGTATTTTTGTGTCCAAGCTACGAGTGAGAAAACATAAGGATAAAAAGGTGAGATGCCTTAATTTCACACCCAGAAAGCCAGGCAGGCCTTGCATCCCGGTTCTCAGATCCCCAGGGCCTGCTTAGCCACATTTCAGAAAGAGAACAGTTGTCCAACTCTCTCGTATGTTCAGCAGTTGTATTAGAGTTTGCCAGAAGAAATGGTCTGCTCCTTAACCTTTTTTAAATTGACCACGGTGGAAATGTTGACCAAAAGAGACTTACTTCCGGGTGAATGTGATTCTAAGAGTCTCATTCTACGTAAAAGATAGCAATCATTCCTCAGAAGTGGAAGTCATAGAGCCTGTTGTTCATGTTTTAATTCTATAATATAGAATGGGAAATAGGAACCTGTTTGCTTATTATATTGTCTTAACCTTTCGCTTGACATATGAGACACACTGTGATCCACTGGGTAGGAAGACCAACCCTTCTTCTCAATTTCAGGAAGGACAGGTGAACTGACTCCTTGAGGTCATGTTGGCACCAGTGCTGTGACAAGGGAGCCCTGAGCCCCGGAGCAATGGATCCCAATATAAGTTGTGACCCATGGATATTGAAAGCAAAGAGAAGGGCACAGTACAATTAATCTAGCATGAAGATTTTAGAAGAACCTGAGAATTCTGACCACAGTTTCATTCCCAGCTCCATTTGAAAAAGTTCATAACCACTATTGAATTTTCTGCCGCCCTCCCCCTTTTTTTTTTATAAATATCATACTATGAATCCCATTGGGTTGTTGAGGAGCTTAATTAAAAATGAATGGTTGGGGCCCGCGCCGCGGCTCACTAGGCTAATCCTCTGCCTGCAGCGCCAGCACCACAGGTTCTAGTCCCGGTTGGGGGGCTGGATTCTGTCCCAGTTGCTCCTCTTCCAGGCCAGCTCTCTGCTGTGGCCCGGGAAGGGAGTGGAGGATGGCCCAGGTCCTTGGGCCCTGCACCCACATGGAAGACCAGGAGGAAGCACCTCGCTCCTGGCTTGGATCGGCACATCCCGTTGGCCGTGGCAGCCACTTGGGGGGTGAACCAACGGAAAAAGGAGGACCTTTCTCTCTCTCTCTCACTAACTCTGCCTGTCAAAAAAAAAAAAAATGGTGCACTTGTTACAGGTGGAAACAATTGGGAGCCTTCTCTTCCAGGTCTCTCCTCATTCACTTCTTTTTTTTTTTTTTTTTAACTTTTATTTAATGCATATAAATTTCCAAAGTACGACTTATGGATTACAATGGCTTCCCCCCCATACCGTCCCTCCCACCCACAACCCTCCCCTTTCCCACTCCCTCTCCCCTTCCATTCACATCAAGATTCATTTTCGATTATCTTAATATACAGAAGATCAGCTTAGTATACATCAAGTATGGATTTTAACAGTTTGCTCCCACACAGAAACATAAAGTGAAAAATAATAGATGATTTTTTTTAAATGATGATGAAATCAGAGCAGACCTATTGTCATGTTTAATCCCAGTGAGAGTCAAGTTGGGAGTTGATAATTTCTTTTTTTTTTTTTACAGAAGATCAGTTTAGTATGCGTTAAGTAAAGATTTCAACAGTTTGCACCCCCATAGAAACACAAAGTGAAATATATTGTTTGAGTACTCGTTATAGCATTAAATCTCAATACACAGCACATTAAGGACAGAGATCCTACATGAGGAGTAAGTGCACAGTGACTCCTGTTGTTGACTTTACCAATTGACACTCCTGTCTATGGCATCAGTAATCTCCCTATGCTCCAGTCATGAGTTTCCAAGGCTATGGAAGCCCTCTGAGTTCTCCGACTCTTATCTTGTTTAGACAAGGTCATGGTCAAAGTGGAGGTTCTCTCCTCCCTTCAGAGAAAGGTACCTCCTTCTTTGAAGGCCTGTTCTTTCCACTGGGATCTCACTCGCAGAGATCTTTTGCCAGGTGGAGGGACTGGGAGTCAAAGGGAGCACATAGACAAGTCTAGTACCTGCTAACGCTAACCGATGGAGTAAATAAAGGGGAGAGTGATCCAACATGGGAAGTGAGATACTCAGCAGACTCATAGAATGGCAGATGTCCTAAATAGCACTCTGGCCTCAGAATCAGCCCTAAAGGCATTCGGATCTGTGAAAAGCTCATGAGAGTATTTCAGGCATGGAAAGCCAAGACACTCCTCATTCACTTCTTTCAGGCTTCTAGCTGTTTTAGTGCTTTTGGGTCAGTGTTTCTCAAAGTTTGGGCAGAGAAGGACTGTGGTGTGTGTGTGTGTGTGTGTTTTCAGTCCACTTAAGCCTGATATTCTGAGAAATACAATAAGAATGAAATAAAAAGATGTAAAAGTCCCCATTGTTTGTTGTTGGGGTCAATAGATAGAAAGTTATTCTGTCAAGCTGCTGTACATATCTAAATGCTCTCTCGGTGTGTAAATGTCCACTGTTTCACATCACAGGGCATGGCCATTAGCTGGAGGACCATACTTTGAGTAGCACTGATGTAATAAACTCTTCCTGAGGGTGATCCTAATGGAAGAAGGAGTTGGACTTGAATTAACAATATTCGTGACAGATCATCAGCTATGAAGTTTAATAATAATGTCTGCTGTCATTATTGCCTCTTAATACTCATCTGCATTATTCCTTTTAAAAATTAATGGTTACTATTTTAAGGTTTATTGATTTTAAAGCAAAGTGACAGAGAAAGGAGAGACAGAAAGAGAGAAAGAGATCTTCCATCCACTGGTTCACTTCCCAACTGGCTGTAACAGCCAGGGCTTGTCCACACCAAAGGCAGGAGCTTGGAACTCCATCCAGATCTCCCATATGGGAGGCGGGGGTCCAGGTATTTGGGCCATCTTCTGCTGCTTTCCCAGGCACAAGAGCAGGGAGCTGGATCAGAAGAGGCTCAGCCGGGACTCAGATGGGTGTTGTGATCAGGGATGTTGCATTGCAAGCAGCAGCTTAACTCGATGTGCCACAATACCAGTCTCATCTGCATTTTTCCTGCCTGATCTTCAAGGCTGACTCAAATGCCACCTGCTCTGTGTCATCTTCCTAGACTTCCCCTAGCAGTTTGCTATACTTTCCTAAACATTCATAGCTTCATACACAAGATTTGCATTGTTCTTAACTACCCATTAACAGACATCCTGGTTTCTCAGCTGCCACAACTTCTCTCCTCTCCCCACAAATGACAGCAGATTGATGGTTTAACAACATCCTGTTGAGATGTTCCTGTTGCTAGATCTTTTAAGAGGGGACTTGGCTTTAAAAAATAAATGCAAGACTAATGAAACATAAAATTTCCACGTTTGTCGTTCACACTGTTTTAATATTTTTGTCGTGTTTGCTTCATTGTTTTGTAGTGATGGAAAGAAAACATTACAAATAAAATCGAAATCCTTTCGTCCCCCTCTTTTCAGCTCTTGTTAATTTTACTTTGGTTCCTGCAGCTCTCACATGTTTAATGTCTGGGTATGTGCTGCCACCTAGTGACTCCTTTGGCAATGACACTAAAGGATTGTGGGTCTTCTGTAAGAGAAGGGACAAGTGCAAGGGGGCTTGTTGGGTAATTTGGGCTGGGAATTGTGGCTTATGTTATTATTGGGGGTGCTGTTGTCCTTTAGAAAAGAGACTAGGAGAACTGTATTGTCCCAAATACAGAGTATCTTTCTTATGTGGTATTCTCTTTTGCACAATTTTAACATAGCCTATATGATCAGGGATGGCATTATTATGCACATTGAGAAAAAGTTGTTATTTGTTCTGTTCCTAACTTTATTGCCAAAAAAAATTCATCACTACATAAAATTATGTCACTTGCCATTTGTGTGGTATATGTGCCACAAGTGTAGCACAACTTTTCAGTCTGCATTTGATAGCTGGCACTTGCAGGATGATTCTGCCTGTGTGTTGGTCAGGAGTATAGTTAGCCAAATTTTAAATGACAAACATAAGAAGGAGGTGATGGTAGTATCCATTTAAATGTTGTCTTAAATCTCTCAATCTAAAATTATTCATTCTGAGTAGTTTTAAACATACCACTACATCTTGGACCTCAAACATTCATGGAAAAGTTGAATTGAAAGATTATTTTAGTGTAAAACAATTTTGGAAACTGTGCATAGTTTTTTCATAATTTGCACTTTTTACGAACTTTTGGAAAACTTGCATGCATGGATTTCAAAAAAAAATTTGCACAAAAATAAACATCTTTCAATTCCATTTTCATTCCATTTTCTGGGACCTTTTTTTGTTTTTTTTTTTTTCGACAGGCAGAGTGGACAGTGAGAGAGAGACAGAGAGAGAAAGGTCTTCCTTTGCCGTTGGTTCACCCTCCAATGGCCGCCGCTGCAGCCGGCGCACCGCGCTGA